TCTGACCATAGTTTGTTCATACCAGGGCATCTAGACCAGTGGTCTCCAACCTTTTTACACCCAAGATCACTTTTTAAGTCCCAGAACAGGCGAAGATCTACCGCCCCGCCCCTTCCTTGAAGCCCCGCCCCTTCCTTGAAGCCCCGCCCTCTCTGTTCTCCTGTCCATTGCTTGCTATCCCCAGCCCTTATACACTCTGTTAAACAGTTTATTTTTAAATTATGCAATATATAAAATTAAAATCACATGTTTATAGTTATGAAATAAATGGTCTGTTTTTAATTCATGCTATTTAAATGTCAAATGAAGCATTTACAATTATGCATTTTGTTCTCTGCTATTTTGTAAATCTAAAATCAAGTATTGATAATTATATATTTTTTCTTCCAATAACAAAGTCTCAGTGTGACACCTGTGACTGAACAGTATCTGCCAGTGTCTTGAAGTCTGGGTTGTAGTCTGAGATTGCTAGTCGTATACAGTCCATCAGATAGGCATCTGTGATCCTGCGCTCAGCCTGGGAAGCTTGCTCCAGCACAGGTGGAGCTAGACACAGCCTCCCTGGGCTGAGCACAGGGCAGCCGGGCTGGAGGGAAGAGAAGTGGCTGCCCGGCCAGCTGGCCATGGCACTCAGCCAGGGTGCACCAAGCTCCACATGGGCAGGCGCAGAGGAGAAGCCGCTGATCAGCTGGAGCGCGGGGCAGCCTCTTTCAGCTGAAAGCTACAGTCAGCTGGCTGGGGTGTTTCAGCCCTCCCGACCTCCCAGCTCCCACCATGCCTCGCAGCTACTCACCTGTGTTGTTGCTCAGTGAGTAGCTGCTCCTCAAATAAGGAAATCTAATGTAAATGTACTGTGCATGCGCGTAGTTCAGAGAGGGCTCAAGAGCTACTGTTAGAGCCTCTGAGATCTACTGGTAGATCGCGATCTACTGGTTGGTGACCACGGATCTAGACCAAACTATTAGCCACCTGATTGGGTAAAAGATTCCATGAAACACTGAAACATTCCTACTCTTTTCTCAGAGCTGTCTGGTTGAGTTAATATAGACGCTGCAATATGAAAATGTAATTTAAAAACTTTACAATTCCCATACCTGATGAGCTATGAATGCATTCTCCATGTGATGGGCAATCACTGTATGTCCAGCACGAAAGGGATAGCTCATGTTCTAAGCATTCTTATCTAAGTGACCTAACTAGGTGTTGGGTTGTAATTTTATCTGTTCTCAGAGCCCTCTTTGCCATCTATGTTCAGGGCTCAGAGCCTTAGTCCTTCCTAGTTGGAGCTACTTGAGTCAGCATCTTGGATTAGTGTGTCTGATCCCACCTGCCCAGGAAATCCCCAGGAGGTGTTTGGGGAGAAGAAACCCTATTGTACATCCTCCTAAGTTTTTCACTTGAGAAGTGTGTGGTGGGGATGGGAAGAGATTTATCCCCACATGGACCCAGCACCTCAGCAGAGGAAGCCGAAGGTTCAGGCCTGTAGCCCCACAGATCTGTTCTCTGGGGACACACTGGAAGCCAGAGTCTTCTGCCCCATCTCCTCCATGCAATCCCTGTTGGTCACTTGTAACATAGCTCTGCTGACAGGATTCCGACCAGCTTCTTCCACTGAGACCTTCAAGAGAAAGATTCCCTCACCCAAAGGGGACTTGCAAAAATGTTCAGCTGGGGCTGCAATAGCTTTAGGGCAGCCTCAGTCCTGGTTTGATGGGGAAGGAGGGGCGAGGAGAAGGGCTGTAGACACATTTTAACCAAGGTAGCAAGCAGGGGAAGCTATATGGCCAGGAATGTACAGATTGCTTGTTGGAAGAGGGAACGCAATGAAAGGAATCCGTGACACCTCTTCCAGTGACCGTTATCTCTGTAAGCTATGCCAAATAGCACTAGAAGTGCATGCATTTCCCATCAGTGCCTGCACACTAGGAAGTACTTGTGGAGTTGTGGGTTTTTCTTTTGTTAAAGCTTCTTGGGATAATGAGATGTGACCTTGTGCAGCTTTGCCCTTTCTCAGAATGGTTCCCATCTCCACTGCTCTTAAAGCAGTGAAGCCACAAAACAGTCTTCAATTAAAAAAGCCTTTGCAGGCAGCCAGGAGGCTGCCCTTAGTAAAGATGGACACTACCTCCCATTGTTCCCCACTGGATTAATGCCAGATTGGGCTCAACGCAGTGCCCCCCTTGTACTGTCAGAAGGCGGGGGCACCGTGAGGACCTGGTAAATGGCAGTGGAATGGGGAAGAGAACGGGGAGGAGTAAGTTCTGTGAGGAGGACAAGGGTGCTGTACAGAGCATGTGAATGGGGCCCAGCACAATGTAAAAGAGCCGGGAGCATGGCTGTAAGAGGGAGGAATGGGGTACCAGAGAAGACTGAAGGGGGCAGAGGAACATGGGGCAGAATGCAGCAAGGTGTAGCGAGAAATAGGGGGCAAAGAAGAATTTGAAGGGTCGGAGGTAGAGGCTGGGAGGAGAATGAGTGGGGCAGAAATCAAGAGGGAGATAGACAATGATGGAGGGAAGTACATATGTTCATTTCAGGATAAAGTTTGAATCTGAATTTGTCAGACAGTAGGGGTCAGACTGCTTCCCCCTCCAGCCACAGACCATAAGGCAGATCAGAGCAAGAAACTGGCTTGACAAGAATGAGGTATTTAAAAGCGATCCCGACTTGGGAGCCAGTGGCACCCTTCTGGATGCTGGCAGGTGGCTGTACGGAAGAGATTCCGATTGGCTGTGAATTTAAGAGTGTTAAAATGCAGAGCTGGGAGCTGAACTGGTTCTTTCTAGCTCATCAGGTACGTGAGCCAGTGATCCACAGGGCTGTGCAGGTGAGCCCAGGATCCCTTTGGTGGTAGACTTTTAGCACTGACACAGGACCTGACTTTACATCTCTCCGTTTCCAATTTGTATTTGGTCAGAGGTGAGCGGGAATAAGCAGCAGAGCAAACGCAGATCCCAGGGAATCCAGCTAGTCTGGTCTAGCAGGCTGTATTTTGCCAGTGCAGTTTGGGCATGGTTTAATCTAATGTAAAATATCCACTAAAAATTTAGAAGAAGAGAAAATATTTACTAGGATCCTTTTGCCAATCTCTCTGGCTTTTGAAACAAAGGCTGCCCTTGATGTTTCTTGGTCTGGGATTGAGGAATCAGATCTCCAACTAGTGGCAGGTCAGCTGAGGTGAAAAGTCCACTCTAATAAGCTTCCAGCCTGCGGGCTATGGGCTTGCTTATTCCTTCGGAATTGCCTGCTCGAAGGAGACCTTCTGCCTGGAACTCTCTTGCCTTGCGGGCGGTGAGTGGGATGCAGGGAAGAGTCATTGTGTCTGCAGCAAACCAAGCCCTGCAGAGAGCTCCTGCAGGGTCATGAATCCATGGCTGGAAAGTAGAAGAGATGGCACCCGCCCTCATCCCCACCACAGACCTGCACAAAAGCCAGTGAGAAGGGAATTGAACCCAGTGGCTCCTTTATGCTGAAGAAACTCTTGAGAGTGGGGGGGAGGGAGGGGGCTCAGAGAGTCCTTGGTATTGTGACTTCACCAGAGCAGTGCTGTCAGGGAGGCACAGAGCCCCACGGCCCCTTTTCAGGGTCAAGGCCTGGGGACCAAACTGCTTCCTGTTCCCAAGAGGAAGGCATCTAAATCCCGTCCCTGATGGAACAATCCTAGGATAACTCTGGACCAGGATCATGCTGGGGGACGGTCCTTCCCTCCAGAGCTCCTTCCGTGGGTTTTCCTTAGGGAGGAGGTAATTATCCGAGTCTCGTGACCTCTGTTCTTGGGTGGTGAGGAACCACTGGGGCATGACACAGGCCCATGGGGCAGTGAATAATTGGAGACAGATGGAGTTTGACTCCAGCACAGCAGGAAGTTGAGAGACACCATGAAGTCAGTGCAACATTTTAAATCTTTATGAAACTCGTTGCACTTGCAATCCAAGCCAGATTTGGAAGATATCCTCCCCTACTGCCCATAAACAGGTGAGCCTTTGAGAGGCCTGAACTACTATTCAATTCCTCTGCGCTCCTGGGTAAGGTATCAAAATGAGGCCAGGCCCAAGAGAAAAAGACCATCTAACCAAATTAAATCAGCCTCCATTGTCTTCCCATTCCAGTCATATAAAGAGACCTATGTCGTGTGTGCATGGCCCCTACCCCACATCCTGTATGGCAACTTCTCTTTGATGTATCATCTACATGGGATTAAATGTACTAAGAGTAAGATTGTGTAAAAGCAGAATTCATTCTCACTTCTAAGTGTTGCTGACTGTTGAAACATTTCTAGTTTGACATCTTCAGTATTACTATTCCCGCTATGCTTCATACGCTGTTTAGCATGGGGTTTCAGTCCTGATTTCTTTATTGTAAACCTCAGAACAAATTTCTTCCTAACTAGATCCCTCTCTTGTTGTGAAATTCTGCTCCAGGATATAAAGATTTAGTAACACACGTTCTCAACTCACAATAGCAGCATAAAATGTACCATGTACTCACAATATCAATGCCAAATATGCAGCATCCCTCATATCAGCAGCACAAAATGTACAGATAGTATCTTAAAACAAAGGAATCTAACAAAAATTAACTTATTGTCCGCTCTCTGGCAGGCACCCTTCACCCTTTTGAGGGTTTTAGTTTTGAAAAGGGAAACTTGTCTCCAAATCCCTCTTTCCTGATCTCCTTTCAGGAGGTGGATGCGCCTGACACTTCTTCCCAGCCATTTCGAGCCAAATTCTTTTAGGCCCCTTCTACCTTGAGAATTGAGCTGTTAGCCTAATTGCTGTTCTAAACTAGCTGAGAATCTAATTCACATTTCCCTGGTGGCAACACAGACCACACCTGTCTTGGGGAACAGGTGACTTTGCTGCCCTGTGATCCATCAAGCCCACCTGTCGAGCTGTCAGAAACAGCTGGCAGCCTCCCGTCTGAAGGAGCAGAATACAGCAAGAAATTGAAACCCTGCTGCCTAAGACTAACCCGTTCTGTTCCCCTTCCCATGTTCACAGGCAGCATGATGAACTTGAAGAAGTATTTCATTCGAGTGCTCCACCGTCTCCAGAAGGGCCCTGGGTACACGTACAAAGAGCTGCTGGTCTGGTACTGCGATAACACCAACACACATGGGCCCAAGCGCATCATCCGGGAGGGGCCGAAGAAGAAATTCATCTGGTTTTTCCTGACTCTGCTGTTTGCATCCCTCGTCTTCTGGCAATGGGGGATCCTCATTACCACATACCTCTCCTACAGTGTCAGTTCATCTCTCTCCATAGGCTTTAAGACCATGAAGTTCCCAGCAGTCACCGTCTGCAATGCCAGCCCGTTCAAGTGAGTTCCGTGTCTGCGTCACGTTACACACAGTGTCGACTGTGATGCTGCATTGCTCAGTGAAGAGATGCTGCCTTCCTGTATCCCCAGGAGGCGCTTGACCCGTGCTCTGCCTCGGGCCCCTCTCCCACAGCTCCCACCACGGCCCTGCCTCTTCCTGTCCCTCTCCTGCATCCTGCTGGATGGCTGATCGCTGGTGGGCAGGAGGGGCTGGGATGGAGAGAGAAGAGCTGATCCACAGGGCTCCAGAGCACCCCTGGAGTCAGCACCCACGGCTCACTAACATGTCCAGGGCATAGCCCTTTAAATCTTTTCCATCTCACATTGCAGAGACATGGGATCCTGAAAGTGGCCATTGTAATTCAGCAAGCCCTTTAAAAAATGAAAGCAAAATAAATGAAGGAAGGCAGCTTCGTTCTGCAACCCAGCCCCATTCTCTGGGTGCCAGGAAAGGCCACTCTCTGCTCTGTTCGACCAGGGCCAATTCAGAGTAACACGTGTCAAATCAGGCAGTCGGATGACTTCACTGGAATTACCTTACACGTACATTAGCGACAGAACAGAGGTGTGAACAGTGAAGTGTATCCCAGGCAGTGTCCCAAAACACTGAGCAGACCCACAGTGAACACGCTGATTTTTTTGTCCTCTCCCTCCAGAGCAGCTCCAGGTTAAGTCAGCCGCCTGCTGGCCATGGCACATGGATTATTTGAACGCCAATGGCATTATTTCTGTGAGCCACGGCAATTCATCAGGAAATCTGATTATTTCTCTCAGTGGCTCCCAAACGGTGACTTGGGACCCATGTTGCTTCTAATCATTTCCATCCATGTGCAGAATCCGTGTGTGTGTGTGTGTGTGTGTGTGTGTGTAGACGTGCAAATGTGCACCCCCAGAAAAACAAACACCTGGCTCTGGGCGCTCTGCTAATCAGCTGAGCGGCATCTGAGTCTCTCCTGAGCGGGTGCCCAAGTGCTCAGCTTACAGGAACACTGGTGGGACCCCAAAGTGGGTCAACGCACCCACTTTCATAGGGTCACCCGGGGATGGTGATAGATTTGCTGGTGCCTGGGGCCGAAGCCTGAGCTCCACTGCCTGGGATCCTGTGGGGCTCAGATTACAGAGCCGCCGCCCCCCAGCACTCTAGGGCTTGGCTGGGCTCCAGCTCCTAGGGCCATCTACTTCTTTCTGGTGTCAGGGGTCCCAGGTCAGTGTAGATTGAGAAGTGCTGCTTTGTCACTGGCTAATTGGATCGCTGGTTCTTGCCCCAGTGCCTGGCAGCCAGATCGCACTTTGTACATGGGTGCTATTCCTCTCTCAGTAACTCCATCTGACTCTCCCTAAAGTCCGGGTTCCCTAGAGCCCGTCAAGCTGCTGCCAGCTTCCCAGCGCTTGCTAACTGCTCCTTGCCCTTCAGATACTCCAAGGTGAGGCACCTATTGCGAGAGCTGGACGAGCTCACGGAGGCGGCCCTGGAAAGGATCCTGCAGTCCAAGAACAGGGACGCAACCTCCGCTCTCCCACTGAACTCCAGTGAGACTCCCTCTCAGACACTCAACCTGAGGCTCTGGAACCAAATCCCCTTGGTTCTGATTGACGAGAGTGACCCAGAGCGGCCTGTCATTATCGATCTCTTTGAGACCGACGAGAGTGGCTCAGGCGCCCAACCCAACAATTCCTCCCCGGCCCTGGTCAACGTGACATCGGAAGCAAAGAAGCAGAAGGTGGCAATGAAGCTGGTAAGTGGAGATTTGTGGCTCTATGCAACATGCTCAGCCCTTCCCTTGAGGACACGTTACATTGTGCGTTTGCTCTGGTTTGGGACAGCACTAGCACAACAGGGTGTGGTGGCGTGTTGGGGTTCCCCTGCCTCCTGCACCCCCGTAGTGGCATGAACAGACTCTCCCAGCCAGTAGAACAGGGGAGTTTATTGCTTCTCCAGGATACAGCCCAGCACAGATGTAATCTGAATACAGGGCAGGCGTAGGATGCCTCAGCCCCCCTTGAGATGGGGGAGCCTGGGCCCCTAAATCCCAGCCCCTTGCTTAGGCTGCTTCCCCCATGATTCCAGCCAGAAACTAAAGCTCTCCCAGCCCTGCCCCCCAGCCAGGTGCTGGTCTCCGCCCTCCTCCCTTTGTCTCTCCCTGGGAGGCTGAGCCTGGGTGTCTGGGTTAATCCACATTTGGGGGAGTCAGTGAGAATCTCCCATCCCAGCGCAGGGGGACCCTGGGTCACAGAGCAGACAGCCCCCCCACTACGGCACACAGGGTCGTGATAATACAGGCTATGTCTATACTGCCGGAGTTTTTTGGCACACAGTATGCAAGCCGCTCTCTCCTTTGCATATCTTCTGCCGATCCTTTGTGCGAAAGAGGTTTTGCCGCTAAAAAGACAGGATCATTTGTTAGAAAAACCCCTTTTTCGCAAGATCCTGTAAACCTCATGTGTTGAGGAATAAGGGATCTTGTGAAAAAGGGTTTTTCCGACAAATGGCCCCTTCTACATGGTTTTTTAGCCGCAAAACCACTTCCGCACAAAGGATCAGCAGACGATATGCAAATGAGAGTGCAGTTTGCATATTTTCTGCCAAAAACCCCCGGCAGTGTAGACAGAGCCACAGAGACTAAGTAGTAGCCTGTGGAGGAAGTTAGACCCTGGGCACAAGGCAGACAGGGCTTGTGACGTGAAAGCGGGGCTACAGACCATGAGAGAGACGGCCAGATGGCAGGTAACCCTGGGACGTGGTGACCATGTGAGTTAGAACCAGGAGGAAATGCCACCCTAGCGGTGACTGGAGTGCCCACCATGCAGGCAGTGGTGATGGAATGGGCTGGGGGGTGGCCCCAGGATTTACATTCAATGGTGTGACCCCAAGAGTCACACTGCCACTGTAGGTTCTCTCAGACCTCTGAACACAAGGCCAGGCACCCGCTGGTTGTGCGGTAGCTACACATTAACTTCATGCGTCTTCAGTGCAGCCGGAAGGCCCTCCCCAACTGCATCTACAGGAACTTCACCAGCGCGGCCCAAGCAGTGACAGAATGGTACATACTCCAGTCCACTAGCATTTTCGCTAAGATCCCGCGGAATGAAACCGTTGAGATGGGCTACCAGCCAGAGGACATGATCCTCGCATGTCTGTATGGGGCAGAGCCCTGCAGCTACAGGTACGTGGAACCCACTGAACTCCTACTTACTCTCAGGCTCTCGGAACTATCTAGGCAAAAGGAGTATTCAGTTCTTTGGAGCAGGACTGCTTTCACCTGTGTGTGTCCAGTGTGAGCACAGTGGGGCCTGGTGCACGCCTGAGCCTCCTAGACGCTGTGGAAATGTCAATTACTACTACTAGTCATTATTCAGTTGGCCACACACCCTGCTCAACAGCCTGAATGGGATCTCAAACCAAAGTATTAAATGGCCTAAACATAACCCGGGTATTACCAGCACCACTTGCCCACTGGGAATGTTGCTGGATGTGCCCTGGGTTTAAATTGTAACCAAGACCTGTTAAAGCCTCCAGGCAACATGTTAGGTAACTTCTCGCTAATCAGGTGATTTTTTTCAAGACACCTCAGCTGCAGCCCGTGGGTCTCAGCTAATGGAACTGCTCCACTTGAGTCTGTTTCACAGTGAGAGGGAGGGCCATGTAACCAGCTTTGTGGCAGAATATTTGTTAATTAAAACAAACCCCTTAGTTCGAAACGGTCAGCCTCAAAGGCCATTGCTTGACCTGTGCTTCGTGATGGACACAGCTACTGCGATAGTCCAGGCGGTAGCTGCTGTTCTTGCCGCAGCGAATGAAGAGATTTCCAATACTGGTTAACAGGACAGCAGCGTGTCCCGCGGACTGCCATCCAGCACACGTCCCACATGCACTGGCCCATCTGTGTCTGTGGGCGGACTAACTTCCTGGGCGCCAGGAGAGCTCGGAGAGGTGCTCTGCTCAGCCCAGCAGCAGTTCGTTGCCCAGCCCTCCCTTCTCTCTGCCCCAATACGGACAGGGCACAGGACAGGGACTCAGAGAGGCCCAATCCCAACTCCGACACTGACTCCTCATGACCATGTACAAGGAACTAAGCCCGATATTGAAACTTCATGCCCTACAGCCAAGCACATAAATAAGTGGCCTGAACATCTTCCGAGCCCAACCAACTCCTGTGACCTGCCCCCAAAGCACGGCATTTGGTCCCACGTGCTGGCCTCAAACAAAGGCATGCCCTCGGCTACACTGCCTGCTGGATAAGACGCTTCTTCCCTCGCGCTCAGCAACTATAAACCCTTTTTGGCTACAGAAGCGAGTGTCCGATTCCAGCCAGGCTGTTGCGGGCCCTTCCCACAGCACTGCTCTGTTCTGGAAATTTGGAGAATGATCCATAAACAAACAGCTGGGTATTTCTCCAAACGGGGCAAGTCAGTTATCTCAGCCCTAAATCAGGCACTTCTTTGGGTGTGCCGCACCTGTGTCACGCTATAGCATTCACTAGAGAATCACATGCAGGCGCCTTTCCGTCATGGTACAGCATGCACCTCTGAGACAGGCTCTGTGGGCAAGGCTGGGTCTGTCCCTGCACCGGTGAGCAGGGGGGAAGGTACCACAAGGAGCCTTTGCCTTCTCTACGCAAGGTCAGGCCTGCTCCCTTGAGGCAAGTGCTGATAGTGAGCCGAGATGAGCCATGGCTAACCCCATGCTGTGGCTGGCACAGGGCTGGGTGGGGTCTGCAGGAGGCATGGCACTTTCCAGCATAGGTGGCGAGTTATATGGGTCTGTGGTGCCCTGGCACCAGGGCTGGTTCTACCACCGCTCGCCATCTGCTGATGCTGCCCCCATGTGCTCCCCTGGGCAATCTCAAACACCCTGGGGGGGGCCGCCACCAGCAGCAGCAGCACAGCGGGGCTAGAGTGGCTTTCCCCCACTGCCCCCCCCCGGCCTGTGCCTCCCTGCCACCTCTGCTTTTCAGGGTTCCTCTGGGGGCAATGCAACTCTGCAAATCTCTATTCTAGGGTGTGCCTCAGGCATAACTGAGGCCCAAGTCACAGCATCTTCTGTGCAGTTCGTTCCATTCCCAGAGGGAGCCTTTAAAAGTGTAACGCCTCTTTCCCCCGTTTGCCTTCACCAATACTGGGCCTTAAATACCATATGCTAAATTCTCTTTGGGTTTCAGAGAGATGCTGCTACTATCTTTTCAAGTAGGAGTAATTTGGATGAAAGTATACCACTTAAAAGCCGAGCATCGCACGCCTGAAGAAACTGTTGTATTTGTATATGCAACAAATAAACAAGTTAACTGCACATCCCAGGCATAACTACAAGAAATCAAAACACAAAATCAATTAGTTGCACTATTTTACCACCCTAGAATTACTGTGCTTGATTCTTTCAGAAATTTCACCCCCATCTATCATCCGGACCATGGCAACTGCTACATCTTTAACTGGGGCAAGGATGAGGAAGCCCTGTTTTCTTCCAACCCTGGAGCAGAGTTTGGTAAGCACTAAAACTCCCAGGGACACATGAAACAAGAGAGCTTGGAAATGTTTCACCTGCAGAAAGCAACTTCTATTGCATGCTACGAAGAGGTTGATCTATGGTACCATATAGGGCTACAACAAGGGAGGGATCATTCAATGATTGCCTTCTCTGGTCAGTCTCTCAGAAGCACCTGGCACTGGCTCCAGATGGAGACTGGCTCCTGGGCTAGATGGACCATTGGTCTGACCCACTGTAGCCATTTGTATGCTCTAATGTAGCGGTCCACAACGCAGTGCCCGTGGGCGCCATGGCGCTCGCCGGGGCTTTTACGTGCACCCGCCTACTGACCAGGGCCAGCCCGAGCCATTCCCGCACCAAGGGTGCGCAGTGCCACCCCCAGGCGAGCGGCACATGCACAGCCCCCGCCCTGGGCACGTGGCATATGCACAGTGCCACCCCTGGGTGCGTGGCGCATGTGTGGCCCCGCGCCCAGCTGCCCCAAAAGGTTGGAGACCCCTGCTCTAATGAATTAGTGCTTGGGGGTGCAGGGAATGGCTAGAGAAAGGGGGTTAACCCTAAAGAGGGACAGGGATTACATAAGGAATGGCAAAGGGGCATCACACAGAATAACTTTAAGAAAAGTGCATCTCAGGCGAATACCTGGGAAAACGCCCACAGAATCAGGGGTTTCCTTTCCGCCCACTGGTGGAGTGTAAGCGCTTTGAAAAGGTCAGGCTAAGAAGAGAAGGGTCTGTTCTCCTGTCTCAATGAGGCAGGACTTCCCTGCATAGTGGGAGAGCTCCTCTAAAGAGCCTGGTTTATATATAAACTCTGCGCTTCCAGTTTAGGGGTTTTGAATGTTGTGTTTGATGCCCACAGGGCTGAAGTTAATTCTGGACATCAGCCAACAAGACTACATTCCCTACCTCACATCTACTGCCGGGGCCAGGCTTATGTTGCATGAGCAGAGGAGTTTCCCTTTTCTTAAAGACCTGGGCATCTATGCCATGTCTGGGACGGAAACCTCGATCGGCGTATTAGTGGTATGTGTGACATTTCATCAGAACAAATCATCTGAGAACAATACTATCTGATGGGACTGCAGCCAAGTTTGTTTTCAGTCTTGGCTGAACTGGCTCAATCCAAAACAGTCAAGTTATATACTGGCTATGGCTTGGAACAGTGTTTATGAAAGATTAAATGCACTAATCTGGTGAAGTATTTTATTGAAGCCAGAAGCCTCAGTCCAGGTTGTTGCCTCTTCACTCCATGTGTCAGCAGCTGCGGGCTAAGCGAGTCCATCCATGCTACACTTAACACCGCAGCTGCTAACGTAACTGGCGCAGAGCTCATCTTCTCTTGCCCCCTGCTTCTCACCAAGGTGCAGGTACCAGACTGTTACACTCCCTGACTGCCCTTCTGAGCACAGTGCAGTTGTCACAGGCATCCCCGTCTTCCCAGAATTACACAGACAGCAGTTCTGCAGACTCCATGAACATGGTGCTGATTGTTTTGTTTGGTTACTACTAGTGTCGCTGGCTGTGCCCATCAGCCTTTGCCTCACCCTGACCATGGCTAAGCCAAACCCCTCAGCACAGATCCCAGTGTTTCACTCAGTCCTCCCCTTCCCCAGTTGTCACTGGAACCTTTACCCTGGGATTTGGGAGAGGGTGGATCTGCCACTAACTCTCCCCAAGAGACAATTAGAGGGGGTCCCAGGGCAGTGGGGTCCAAGGAGGTCCTCGCTGTCTAGTCTAATCCAGAAGCCCATGTCTCCCCCGGCTCAGCTTCGTGTGGCTCCCAAGGACGATATTCCTTGGCTGTTGCTGCCTCTGGCTGTTGTAGCCTCTCCAGGAACTGCAGGGTCTGTTTCTGAAAGGGTCTTGCACCAAACAAGCATGCGACAGGAACTATGACTCCAACATGCTTATATCTGGTGGGTTTGGTTTTCTTTCAGGATGAACTTGAGCGGATGGGTTTTCCCTATAGCGACTGCACCATGAACGGATCCGATGTCCCCGTAAAAAATCTTTATAATGAGTATAATACCACTTACTCCATACAGGTAAAGGGATTATTCATTCAAATCAGGGATTTCTTAAAAGAATCTTTTAAGCAGTTTACATGCTTAATGGATATGAACTGTTCTAGAGAGTAAGAAAGTTAAACATCATGGGTCAAAAGCTCTAAACCAGAGCTGGGTGAAATATGGCCCACAGGCCGCATCTGGCCCACCAAGCCACCGGATCTGGCCTGCGGACGCAGCAGGGAGCCCCAGGCAGGGTCCCCGCTTGCCTTATCACCCCCCCACGCTGCTCAGGAAAGAGGCTGGGGGCGCCCGCT